TCTTGCATCCTGACTTTTGACTAATCTATACGTTTGAGCACATTCCTGTAATGGCGCAGCAGCCCGACCAAAACAGGCACATTCTGACATGCTGTAGGAGGACGTGTTCAGCTAATGGTATTTACAAAGAGCTGGTGTCACCACAGAACTCAACAAGGTGACAACACATGCTTTTACAGCCATTTATATCATTTTCTTGTGTTGTGTCACATCTGACAGAAACTTAAGTGCACATGGTGTACACATGAAAGGATGTTGAAGTACACTGGTAAAGCTAAAGATCTATAGGTTAGATAATCCACTGGTGTGAGGCAATGAGAAATACATAATCCATAAGAAAACTGGAAATGAAAAACATAAATAAGTGTTTAAGGAAATGTGTCTGATTCATGGATTAGTTATAGACCCGGCATGTCCAAACTCAGGCCCGGGGGCCAAATGCGGGCCTCAGCGTCACTGTATGTGGCCCTCTGCCTTGCTAACCCAAAAAAGTCTTTGAGATCATAAACATGCGTTCACTGTGTCATCCATCCAACTTCAGCTCAGCCATTATAGACGTGTTATATATAGACACTCTTCAAATCCACTCTCAAAACTAACCTGTTCAGACAAGCCCACTCACTAACTTCATAACCACACTCTCCTCTGGCCATGATGATTTTAACTTTGTATTTTAACTGTTTTTAACTGTTTTTAAAATGTCCTATTCTTATTATTATTAGTGTTATTATGTTGTAACTCGTTCTAAAGCCCAGTACGTCATTGACATTATTTGCACATACTGGCCCTTAATGATGCTAATGTATGAGATGTGTATGTATGAGATGGTGAGATGGTAAACATGTGTCATCCAGCCAACTTCAGCTCTGTTATAGATCACTTTGAAGTTTTTCAGTCTGTGATCTTGGCCCTCTTACTAAACAGTTCAGACACCCCTGAGCTAGACTTGGACCTACGTTCGCTGGCCATGGTGCTGAAACCCCCACATTGAAAAATCATATACATTTGATTACTGTGATCCCGTTGTGTAAGAATACCGATTTCTTTAATGATATGTAAGCTTGTGTCCTTACAGTTTCCACGGCAACACACTTTCATTCCGTCCTTATTCAGATCCTAACTATAGCCATTTGGTCTTATGGGTGTCATAACGTGAATGCAATATCCGCCACGGCAATAAACACACTCTCACTTGTTTCTAATACACTAATACACAGACACATAACAAATATTATGGTTCCATCCCGGCTATGAATATTCTAAAAATAAAATAGAAAAGCGGTCCAGAGCAGAGAATACACCTTCAGACTCAGAATACGCCAATAAAACTTAAAATTTGGCACGGTGGCTGAGTGGATACCAGTCTCGCCTCTCAACGAGAAGGTTCTGGGTTCGAATCCCGGTCGGAACGGGGTTAGCGTGTTCTTCCCGTGCTTGTGTAGGTTTCCTCCGGGTACTCCAGTTTCTCCTAACACTAAATACATGCACACTAGGTTAAATCCTGCAGCTCTGGTAGTCCTGACCAAGCCGGGCATCAACATCTGGAGATGGGTTCTCGGGCACTGTTACTACGGCAACCACTGCTCTTGACGCGAGCCATAGCAGCATCAGGATGGGTCAAATGCAGAGGATGAATTGCCCGACGGGGATTAATTAAGTGCACGTTTACCTTTATTGTTCCCTCACTGCCCCAAGACGCCTCCGACATTTCACAGGCTGTGTTGGAAATCGTCTTTTTCCGCACGTATGACACACATGAGCACTTAGAGCCGAATGAATCGCAGGAATCGCGGGGAAATAACTTTTGATTGATGATTAATAGATGGAGTGAAAACTGTTCTCAGGAGGGATACGGGCGGCAGCAGCTGTTTGACTGACAGCGTGGGGCTTCATTAGCGCCGGATCTACATATGCACAGCTGTACACGGACGTCTAGCTTCTGAGAGAAAGCAGACTTCTATCAGCTTAATGTATATGTTTGGATGTGTGGAAAATTAACCTCACGGAGACGGGACCTTTAGCACCAGAGCGACCCGGAAGTTTATTCTCTTTCTCTCAGTTCATTCAGATTTTATCAAGTGTTTTTTTCAGGAGGAACAACTGCAGGATTTGGTTTATATAGTACATAACATAACACAGTCGTAGCAGATGCAGAATCGGGTCATTGTGGCTCATGGAAACCCAGATTACTTGGATATCTAATTCTCGCAGATGCACAGATGTGGCATCATCGGGGTGTCGTTGCTCTGTCACCTTTGTTGTGGCGGCTCATGATGACACACACGTAATCCTGGCCTCCTGAGATGGGATTATGGCATGTGTTCGGTATAGGGGCCGGATGAACCGCATCAGTGCAGCAGCAGCAGTATATCCTCCGCAGCAGTACATCAGCAGCAGTATATCCTCCCACACAGCATCAGTATATCCTCCGCAGCAGTACATCAGCAGCAGTATATCCTCCCACACAGCAGCAGTATATCCTCCGCAGCAGTACATCAGCAGCAGTATATCCTCCCACACAGCAGCAGTACAGCAGCAGCAGTATATCCTCCGCAGCAGTACATCAGCAGCAGTATATCCTCCCACACAGCAGCGCCTGTGCCAAACATCTCTTACCCAATCCAAACATATTTATTTACATGCCGTTATTTACGAGACTTCCTTCCTAATCACACTGACAAGAGATATACAGTATAGATAGATGGATAGATAGATAGATAATAGATAGAAAGATAGATAGTACCTATATGTACTATATGTATGTATGTATGTATCTATGTACAGTATGTATGTACTGTATCTATGTACAGTATGTACAGTATGTATGTACTGTATCTATGTACAGTATGTATGTACTGTATCTATGTACAGTATGTACAGTATGTATGTACTGTATCTATGTACTGTACTGTATGTATGTACTGTATCTATGTACAGTATGTACAGTATGTATGTACTGTATGTATGTACTGTATCTATGTACAGTATGTATGTACTGTATGCTTTCAATGTAAAACGTCAGATCTCGGTGACACTTGGTGAGCAGTATACACTGTACAGCTGAATACTACAGTAAAGTTACACATGACTGTATTTAGACTCTTAACTGAGTACAAGACACATGTGTATGTAAGTATGTATGTACTGTAAGGCAAGGCAAGTTTATTTGTATAGCACAATTCATACACAAGGCAGCTCAAAGTGCTGAACAAAACAAGAAAGCATTAAAATCATAAATAATCACAGAACATTAAAAAGAAAGATAAAAATATAAAATCCCTCAGTTGTAGCACAGCTAAACAGAACTGTCTTTAACCTGGTTTTAAACATTGTCAGAGAGGAGGCCTGTCTCACATCTTCAGGAAGACTGTTCCAGATTTTAGCAGCATGAATCTGAAAAGCAGCCTCCCCATGTTTAGTTCTGACTCTGGGCACTAACAGGAGTCCAGTCCCTGTGATCCTCAGAGTCCCAGCAGCAGTCCAGTCCCTGTGCTCCTCAGAGTCCCAGCAGGAGTCCTGTCCCTGTGCTCCTCAGAGTCCCAGCAGCAGTCCAGTCCCTGTGCTCCTCAGAGTCCCAGCAGGAGTCCTGTCCCTGTGCTCCTCAGAGTCCCAGCAGGAGGCCAGTCCCTGTGCTCCTCAGAATCCCAGCAGGAGGCCAGTCCCTGTGCTCCTCAGAGTCCCAGCAGGAGGCCAGTCCCTGTGCTCCTCAGAGTCCCAGCAGGAGGCCAGTCCCTGTGCTCCTCAGAGTCCCAGCAGGAGTCCAGTCCCTGTGCTCCTCAGAGTCCGGGCTGGCTGTATGTGTGTATTTCACATATTTGCTGCTCTTTGCAGTTCATTGTGCAACAAAAATACAGTCACTTACAGTATTTACAGAATATCATTCTGGTAGAACTGTGACAAATGTAAACAATAAAACACACACGTCGTTGTGAGTGAAGCTGAAACTCACCTCAGAAAAACTGTTCAATTTAGGAAAGATTTACAGGAAAAAAGATTTTTAAAAAAATGTATGAAATTAGTTTGACAGATTTTGGTTTTGAACTAGTTCAACAGTTTTGTGTGATACTAAAGCGATGAAATGAGGACAGTTAGTTTTATAGAGAAAGACTATTCAGCTTCATCAGTATGTTTCATTCTGACAGGACAGAAGCAAATGATAATGTTCTAAAACAGCAGAGAATTGTATGAAAGTAACTGATTCATGAACAAAAGCATTTGTAAAGTGTTCAAAGGAGAAACTGCTGCGATGATGTCACACACGACTCAGTGTTGTGGAGGTTGGACTCATAGATTTGAGAACTTTAAGTCTGAGAATGCACTAAAAACACTGAGAAAAACTGTAACCTGGTTTTACCCATGTACTTGTTTTGGTGCACACTGGGGACTTCTGCGGATGTATTCCATTGTGGTTTTACAGAATCTCGATCTGAATCTATAGGAACGATTTCTGCTTCATTACATTATTATTTTACCGTCAGACAACCACATTATCCCGTCACGCTTTTGAAACCTTGGATGAGTCTAAAGGCGATATATGTAAATGTTGAATCATTAACCCGAGAAATGGAGCAGGCAGACGGATGAGCTCAGCGCTAACTCAGGGACACTTCTAATAAACTTACATTTAGACATTCTCATTTCAGACGTAATCTCAGGATCGAGAGAAACCTGGTGCTTGTGTTCAGAAAGCCGCATCACCTTCTTGTTTATCAGATATGGACACAATAATTAATCTTTTCATATTTAGAGGAAATTGCTGTTTTGCCGATGTACCTGCAGGAAATGACTTCTCCCATGTTTGCAGAAAAAGAAACAAACAAAGTCACTGATGCAAGTGGAACGACACGGCTGTGACTTGAAAAAACATATTTAGTCTATTTTTTTCTACACTTGCTTTTTTGACTGGGACCAGGTTTATTTTGGGAGTTCAGACTCAATTTGACCCTAGTTTCTTATGAAAGCCCCAACAGAAAACTGTTACCCCTCGATGAGAATCTGACTCACAGACATTTAAGTTTGTATGTGACAAGCACGTCCCGTTTGGAAGATAGATAGATACGTAGATAGATAGGTGCTCCGGTTTCCTCCAGGTGCTCCGGTTTCCTCCAGGGGCTCCGGTTTCCTACAGATTCTCCAGTTTCCTCCAGGTGCTCCGGTTTCCTCCAGGTGCTCCGGTTTCCTACAGATTCTCCGGTTTCCTCCAGGTACTCCAGTTTCCTACAGGTACTCCAGTTTCCTACAGGTTCTCCGGTTTCCTCCAGGTACTCCGGTTTCCTCCAGGTACTCCGGTTTCCTCCAGGTACTCCGGTTTCCTCCAGGTACTCCGGTTTCCTCCAGGTACTCCGGTTTCCTACAGGTGCTCCGGTTTCCTCCAGGTACTCCGGTTTCTTCCAGGTGCTCCGGTTCCCTCCAGGTGCTCCGGTTTCCTCCAGGTGCTCCGATTTCCTCCAGGTACTCCGGTTTCCTCCAGGTACTCCGGTTTCCTCCAGGTGCTCCGGTTTCGTCCAGGTGCTCCGGTTTCCTCCAGGTGCTCCGGTTCCCTCCAGGTGCTCCGGTTTCCTCCAGGTACTCCGGTTTCCTCCAGGTACTCCGGTTTCCTCCAGGTGCTCCGGTTTCCTCCAGGTACTCCAGTTATTCCAGTTTCCTACAGGTGCTCCGGTTTCCTACAGGTGCTCCGGTTTCCTCCAAGTGCTCCGGTTTCCTCCAGGTGCTCCGGTTTCCTACAGGTTCTCCGGTTTCCTCCAGGTGCTCCGGTTTCCTCCAGGTACTCCGGTTTCCTCCAGGTAATCCAGTTTCCTACAGGTTCTCCGGTTTCCTCAAGGTGCCCCGGTTTCCTACAGGTTCTCCGGTTTCCTACCGGTTCTCCGGTTTCCTACATGTTCTCCGGTTTCCTCCAGGTGCTCCGGTTTCCTCCAGGTACTCCGGTTTCCTCCAGGTACTCCGGTTTCCTCCAGGTGCTCCGGTTTCCTCCAGGTGCTCCGGTTTCCTCCAGGTGCTCCGGTTCCCTCCAGGTGCTCCGGTTTCCTCCAGGTGCTCCGATTTCCTCCAGGTACTCCGGTTTCCTCCAGGTGCTCCGGTTTCCTCCAGGTACTCCAGTTTCCTCCAGGTATTCCAGTTTCCTACAGGTTCTCCGGTTTCCTACAGGTGCTCCGGTTTCCTCCAAGTGCTCCGGTTTCCTCCAGGTGCTCCGGTTTCCTACAGGTGCTCTGGTTTCCTCCAAGTGCTCCGGTTTCCTCCAAGTGCTCCGGTTTCCTCCAAGTGCTCCGGTTTCCTCCAGGTGCTCCGGTTTCCTACAGGTTCTCCGGTTTCCTCCAGGTGCTCCGGTTTCCTCCAGGTACTCCGGTTTCCTCCAGGTAATCCAGTTTCCTACAGGTTCTCCGGTTTCCTCAAGGTGCCCCGGTTTCCTACAGGTTCTCCGGTTTCCTACCGGTTCTCCGGTTTCCTACATGTTCTCCGGTTTCCTCCAGGTGCTCCGGTTTCCTCCAGGTACTCCAGTTTCCTCCAGGTTCTTCGGTTTCCTCCAGCTGCTCCGGTTTCCTCCAGGTTCTTCGGTTTCCTCCAGGTTCTCCGGTTTCCTACAGTATCTCCAGTTTCCTACAGGCGCTCCGGTTTCCTCCAGGTGCTCCGGTTTCCTACAGATTTTCCGGTTTCCTCCAGGTGCTCCGGTTTCCCTACCACTAAAAACATAGCACAATAGGTCTGAATGTAACGAGTGAATGGATGGTGTTTGGTCGGAGGTTTTGATGGACCAGTGTGTAAAGCATCTCGCTCCTTTGGGTGATCTCTGTCTGTAAAAATTTGCTATATAGATAAAGATTACTTTGAAACGTAATCTCCAAAAGACACATAGATTAATTAAACATGATCGATAAAAAGTTCGACATTTGGGAAAAGCAATCCGTGTCATTTAACACCAGAAACTCCGTGACCCAGACGTTGTAATGCAAAATGCCTTTCCTTGTTCGAAAATATCTTTTGCGGTTGCAGACTTTGCCGGCAACTTGCTCCCATTGTGAAAACCACCGTCGTATTTATATTTCAGCAGATCCGGCGTCTGTTTGCTGTCTGCTGTCGGCTTGGTATCCCGGTCACGCTGCACTGAACCTCTGTCTCCTGCAGGTAAGAAAGTACCGCTGCCGTCTCCATCCCCAGAGTTTGGTATTCTGGTGCTAGCATGTTCAATGTCTTCTGGTTTGGCGATTAAAGAGAGAGGGGGGGTTAATGCCAGGGGACAGTCAGACGTCACAAAATCACCCTAGTGAGTCTTTATGGAGTCCGCCGGAGAGAGAGAGAAACGAAGTCAATAGAAGACGTGGGACGCAGAGCCGAGAGTATGGATTATGTGTCTTGGAGTATGAGCTGATGGTGATGTAGATGGGGCGATGGGACAGATGGGGGTCAAACAGACAGACAGAGGGATGTGAGAGACTGATGAACTGCTGAGGGAGGGGGGGAGGGTTAGTAAGTTTTTTTATTTATATACCGCCTTTTCACTGCAGATCTGAGTCACAAAGCAGTTTACAATTGTTAATTTTGGGCATTTGTCTCTCACTCCACACAGAGATGGGAGGGGCCAGTACAGGAGGCACATGCCAGAACTATTGTACATATTTTTAGTGGTAGGGGAAACCGGAGCACCCGGAAGAAACCTACGCAGACACAGGGAGAACATGCAAACTCCACTCAGAAAGGCCCTGGTCCGATCGGGATTCGAACCCAGGACCTTCTTGCTGAGAGGCGAGAGTGCTATCCACTCAGCCACCGTGCCCCCCCTGATCCAAACAGACAGAACCACAATGGCCACTTAGGACTGTGTGGGTTTGTGCAGGAGCCGCGTAACACATTTAAAGGTACACTGTGTATAGTTTGTGTTCCCATCTAGCGTCGAGATTGTATAATGTAATCTACGGAACTACGGTGGCTGTCACAGGACAATATGTGGTCAAAGTGCTGCACGATAAAATACTAAATAAAACATATTTAAACGGTAAAATAATAAAAAAATCAGATATGAAAAACCGTGTGTGCATATATGTATAAATATAACAATAACTATGTGTATGGATAGGGAAGTCTGGGTGTCTCTGCTTAGACTGCGACCCGGCAACGGATGAAGCGGAAGGAAGGGGATGGATGGATGGAAAATAAAAGGACCATACAACTCACGCAGTGTTCAAAACCAGAGCATAAAAATGGGTCTTAAAACACTCCACAGAAGGAGACGTTTGGACATGGGGGGGCAGGGCGTTCCATAGTTTTGGTCCATCCCCAGAGAAGGCCCTGTCCCCGAGTTTTAAGTCTCGTCCTCGGTACTGTTAGTATTAGATAGCAATATGGCCTACGTGCAGAACTGTACAAGGACTCTGAAGATGACTCCATGTTATGACTATGATTTGACTGTCTCTGTGTGACACGTCTTTCGATGTGTGACGTGACAATGACTATATAAACTGTGTACTGCCTTTATTCTGTCTGGGAGAAGGAAACAAAGTAAACCACTGGAACTTGAGAGAAACTTAAATAAACTTCCAGAGTTTGGCGCACCACGATCCGTCTCTGTCTGCTTAATCCGACAGATTTGGTGGAGAATGCGCGGCTCAGTGTGCGCCAAACTCTGGAAGTTTATTTAAGTTTCTCTCAAGTTCCAGTGGTTTACTTTGTTTCCTTCTCTCAGACAGAATAAAGGCAGTACACAGTTTATATAGTCATTGTCACGTCACACATCGAAAGACGTGTCACACAGAGACAGTCACATCATAGTCATAACATGGAGTCATCTTCAGAGTCCTTGTACAGTTCTGCACGTAGGCCATATTGCTATCTAATACTAACAGTACCACGAGCTGAAGCTGGGCCTCGGACCTCAGTGTGCAGGCCGGGTGGTAAACTTGAGTGAGGTCCGAGATGTACTGAGGGGCCAGTCCGTTCAAAGCTTTAAGAAACAAACAATACAATCTTAAAATGGATTCTAAAACGAACAGGAAGCCAGTGCAACGAGGCCAGAGCTGGTGTCATGTGACCGCGCCTCCTGCTTCCTGTTTGAAGTCGTGCCGCTGAGTTTTGGACCAACTGCAGACGGGAAAGTGCGTTTTGGGGGATGCCCGCATAAAGTGCATTGCGATAGTCCAGGCTCAAAAAGATTAAAAGATAAAAAAGGTTTAACTTTAGATAAAAGTCGCAAATGATAAAAGCTTGACTTTAAAACGTGATTAATCTGCTTATGAAGTTTAAAAGTATAGTAGTGGTCCATGACTCCCGCTCAAACTGCTTTTTGTCCCTTATCAGCCTCAGTATTTCAAGATGGCGGATTCACACAGAGTCCTCCAGCCTCATGGACATTTATAAGTCACATTCTGAGTCTATAAAACAATTTAAAAACATGGTGGTGATAAATATTCTTTAAAAGGTCAGATTTGTTTTTGGTTAAAATGTTTTTTTTTTATTTAGCCACTTTGCAACAACCGGCGCGCCGGCGGCCGTTTTTATGTTTTTAAATGTTCTGCTGGCAATAGCAGATGTATTTTGAACACCAAACCCCAAAAGCTGTATATCATTTTAAAGCTTATTTTCTTATCTACATTTATATACAATGATGTATACTGATGTAAACTACATCAGACTTTGCATTCAAAAGATATAACACATAATGTGGGCACAAAATAAATCAATTCCGAAATAGTTTTTTACCTTTGGGCTTGTGCTGTACAAATAAATCAGCTCTCCTCCCAGCTTGCAATACATCATTCTCTCTGGAACAGTCCAAAGGAAAATTATAAACACTTGTATTTCCCAAAGTAAAATCCATTCTGCAGAAATAATCCAAAAAATGTGCATTTATCTTTAGCGAAAAAAACGTAAAAAAAGAGCACAGATGTTACTCTTTCACTTTTAACGGACTTTTAGCTTTGTTTTTCACCCAAACATCTGGTATCTACGTGTTCCTTAGCTCCTTATCTTTCAAATGAGACTACTCCCGAAAAGCTAGACCAATTTTTGGGTCTGCAATAGGTCCCGCAAGTACCGCTCGTGCTGCTGTTTGCGCATAGTTGACTGATCTTTGTTGTGATCCCAACTTGTTTGCTTTTACTTCCGGGATTTACGATTGACATGTCCTTGTAGCCAATGAGGAAAGCTTTCGAGCAAGGGGTGGGAAAATGGTGTCCTGTCTTATGTTGGGCCTGGACAATTGTGCGTAATGGAAGCCAAAAGACGCTCTCGAAACTGCAATGAATTTACACTCATAAAAAAATAACTTTGACATTTAAAAAAGAAAAACACACATAGATTAGTAACTTATAAGTACCAATAATAAAAAATATTGTTTTTATGATGATTAAATGTAAGTAAAGATATTTGGCACAATTTGGCACACTTGTGCCAAATTGTGCCAAATGTGCACTACTTGATGAAAAGGAGAAACTGCATAAAAACTATAAAACTTAGAAGTCTGAAACTTTAGACAGTTGTTGTCAACAACACAATGAACAGAGGGTTTGAATATTGTGAACTTACAATGAAGTATGCCTTTTTTAGGGCCTTTAGACATTGAAAATGTTAGGCGAGGCTAAAAAAATTGGGTTTTTTTCCCTAACTTCAAAGGATGCAGAGGAAAAAAGGAATGACAAACATTATTTTAGTGTTTTTTTACATAAACTAGAAGGCTCTAGCTTTAAAATGATGCATCACACAAGCATGTGAGATGTAAGATTTGTTTTTAAATAAGCAAAGACATTTGGGTATGCCCAACCATTGTGCACGAGCCAAAATGAGGCGGATGTTAAGAGGTTAGAGCAACTGTGAAAATCTGCATAGGGAGCCCCCTGCTGGAGAAGTATGGTAACAGCACTGTCCTCTCCTCCTTCCTACTTTATCTGTTCTGCATTATTAGCATCTTGACTGTAGTCTGTTCATTGCTATTCACCCTTTGTCCCATAAATATATATAAAGCACACATTCATCTATCCATATATTTCTTTCCCAACTCTTGTCAATAACATAACATGGCTCATTTAGGCTTTAGGAATTTTTTTAAGCCATGGTTTCAAAAAAGTCTCCCACAAAAGTCTAAAAGTCTGTTGTGATAAATGATAAATATAAAAAGTGGCCGGCTGAGTGACGGCTGGCTCTCCTGCCGCTCACTTCAAAGACCCGCGTTCAAAGCTCAGGTTCGAGGCAAAACTCTGAATATATTTAAACTCTAATCAAATGTCCTGTCTCGCTCGGAGATTTCTGGGTCGGACTCATTCAAAAAAATCTGCAAAAAGTATTTCATCTTTTACATGAATATTCAAAATGCTTCCACATATCACACGTGTATATAGTTTGCTGTTTGTGCGTCTCATTTTTTAAGAATAACTTTTTTTACGATCATTGATGATTTAATGAAAGCTGGAGCGGGCTTTGATTGACAGTTTAAAGTGTGGCGCATGGTTACAGAAGATTTCTCCCACTTTTCGGTTTAAATCAAATCCCAAAAACACACGGCACACGTACGTTTTGAATCTCACAAGATGATTATTTTAGTGATTGGCAGTCGCTAATGTGCTGAAGAACTAGCAATGATTGTATTTGCCTTGAGAAAATATGGCAGAAAAGTGTGAGGTTTTTAAGTGACAGTTTTCGACTTATTTTATGACACTTTTTGCGTTATATTTGCTCTATGCTAATGAGGTCGGAGCTAAAATGAATAACAGTGTCCGTGACGTGTAAAGTGGGGACGTGGAAATGGTCCATGACGTCAAAATGTGTGACATTTCAGAGCGGTTTTTCTCAGTAATCGTATAAAACAGTTATTTTAATCATTTTTTTCATGTTCATATGACGCATTCTGTGATAAGTGAGTAATCTTTAATCATGTAGCGCCTTTCTCCGACCAAAGTCTCAAAGCGGTTTACAATTGTTATTTTCACACAGAGATGGAGCGGGTCACATACAGGAGGTGCATGTCAGATCTACTCAGCATGTTTTTCAGTGTTAGGGGAAACCGGAGCACCTGGAGGAAACCTACGCAGACACGGGGAGAACACGCAAACTCCACCCTGTTCCGACTGGGATTTGAACCCAGGACATTCTGCTGAGAAGTGAGAGAACTAACCAATTATTAACTGATAACTGATTAACTGATTAACTGATTTGCTGATAACTGTTAACTTATTAACTGATAACTGATTAACTGATTAACTGATTTGCTGATAACTGTTAACTTATTAACTGATAACTGATTAACTAATAACTGATTAACTGATTATCTGATAACTGATTAACTGTTAACTGATAACTGATTAACTGATTTGCTGATAACTCCTCCTCCTTACATTCAGACCTATTGTGCATGTTTTTAGTGGTAGGGGAAACTGCAGCACCTGGAGGAAACCTACGCAAACACAAGGAGAACATGCAATATAAGTATGTAAGTAAACTCTACTCAGAAAGGCCCTGTTCCGGTCGGGATTCAAACCCAGGAGTGCTAACCACTCAGCCACTGTGCTGCCCAAGGATTACTGTATTAAAAGTGTGCATTTCTAGCTTCTCAGAGGACATCATTCTTTCATGCACTTGAGGCTGCAGTACCACTTTTGGCCAGCAGCGGGGGTGGAGCAGCCAATTCGTGATCTTGGTCTTAGATTCCAATATAAATATATGTATAAATGTATAATGTCTCTTAAAAGTGCATTCCTCAACTGTCCAGGCGGTGACCTTTGTGTGAAATTCTCTGAAAGCGGCTTCCTGCAAAAGATGTGTTACTGCTTTGCTTGAACTTTCAATTAAAACATAATTTATGCAAGATTTTAGACTTTGAAAATAATGCACGACTGCTCTTTAAGGTAAAACGAACCCAAACTTATCATATCATTCATTCATATTCATTTTTAGTCATATTATTTCTATTCAGCCACTCACCACGGTGGCTGAGTGGTTAGCAGTCTCACTTCTCAGCAAAAATGTCCTGGGTTCGGAACATGGCCTTTCTGAGTGGAGTTTGCATGTTCTCCCTGTGTCTGCGTAGATTTAGTGGTTCTTCCTGTTTGATGACCCGCCCTGATGTGCGTCTCATTAGCCTTGTATTTAATCTGTTCGGTCTGTTTCATGTCTTTGTCCTTTTGTCTCTGTGTTTTAGCTGGACTTGGATTTTCATTACTTTTTATTTGCAGATCTGCGATATTTGGGCTAATTTAATTTCACCCACATGACACTTATACGGTTTAGATATCTTTTCCTATTTCTAGTTGGTTCTCTGTAGCGGCGGCCTGATGGAAGGAGCTCATGCTGGCCGTCATTTATGAAACTTGCGTACGGCCAAATCAGGGTGTAAATGAGAACGTAATTTTTTTTATTTTTGGCATTTAGCAATCTTGGGGGGACCTCGCACTTTCATGAATCTTGCGTATTTGGGCCATTGGGTCTGAGGGGTTATTTTCTTTGCCTGACTAAAAACCGTCTCCTGAAATATCTGAAAAATACCTGGATAATAACATCATAAAGCGCTTTGGGTGACCTTGCGCTGTTAAAAATGCACTATATCAACAAACGTTCCTTACTCACTTACTTACTACTTCCTTAAGTCACGCTGCGTCCACATGAGATCCTGGTCTGGACCGTGTCTGGACCGTGTCGGCTCCTCCTGCTCCTCATCCGCCCTCTCTCTCTCACACCGCTGCTCCCGGGTCACAGTTCATCCCGCGGTGATATCCTGTGAAAGCATCAGGGCGTGGCGTGGCCATAAGTGCGATCCCCGGCGCCAGCTTCCAATCCTCCCGCTGTCTTAGCCGCCTTTGATTAAAAAAGCCATCATCTGTCCACCCCTGGAGAAGCGGAGCATAGAAATGGCTTCTGCTGCCCACCGGCTGTGACATAAAAGCCAGGTGAGATGACAGGGCCGCGGGCAGAGGCGACCTGTGCCGGCTTTCTCCTGCCGATCTCTCTTCATCATTAATCTGTAACACTTCACGGCACCGCGCCAAATTCACGTGTCCCGGCATGAGATAATAAGTGTCAGACATCTTACAGAGAAAGGCAATAAAGCAGAGACGGAAGACGGAGAGAGAGGACGGTGCACTACAGAACCAACAATAATCTGTGGTGGTGGATAGAGAGATGCTGATCCCGGAGAAATTCAGGGGTCAAGTAGCAAAAAAAAAAACAAAAAAAGTTTAAATTGATCATTCTAAAAATCAAACAACAGTAATAATAAGCAACAGCCCTTCGGGTCACAGCAGCAGAGGTGGTGTAGCCTCTGGGTGGAGCAGGACGGGTCACAGCAGCAGAGGTGGAGTAGCCTCTGGGTGGAGCAGGACGGGTCACAGCAGCAGAGGTGGAGTAGCCTCTGGGTGGAGCAGGACGGGTCACAGCAGCAGAGATGGAGTAGCCTCTGGGTGGAGCAGGACGGGTCACAGCAGCAGAGATGGAGTAGCCTCTTGGTGGAGCAGGACGGGTCACAGCAGCAGAGGTGGAGTAGCCTCTGGGTGGAGCACGACGGGTCACAGCAGCAGAGGTGGAGTAGCCTCTGGGTGGAGCAGGACGGGTCACAGCAGCAGAGGTGGAGTAGCCTCTGGGTGGAGCAGGACGGGTCACAGCAGCAGAGATGGAGTAGCCTCTGGGTGGAGCAGGACGGGTCACAGCAGCGGAGATGGAGTAGCCTCTGGGTGGAGCAGGACGGGTCACAGCAGCAGAGATGGAGTAGCCTCTGGGTGGAGCAGGACGGGTCACAGCAGCAGAGGTGGAGTAGCCTCTGGGTGGAGCAGGACGGGTCACAGCAGCAGAGGTGGAGTAGCGTCTGGGTGGAGCAGGACGGGTCACAGCAGCAGAGATGGAGTAGCCTCTGGGTGGAGCAGGACGGGTCACAGCAGCAGAGGTGGAGTAGCCTCTGGGTGGAGCAGGACGGGTCACAGCAGCAGAGGTGGAGTAGCCTCTGGGCGGGGCAGGACGGGTCACAGCAGCAGAGGTGGAGAAGCCTCTGGGTGGAGCAGGACTGGTCACAGTAGCAGAGGTGGAGTAGCCTCTGGGTGGAGCAGGACGAGTCACAGCAGCAGAGGTGGAGTAGCCTCTGGGTGGAGCAGGACGGGTCACAGCAGCAGAGATGGAGTAGCCTCTGGGTGGAGCAGGACGGGTCACAGCAGCAGAGATGGAGTAGCCTCTGGGTGGAGCAGGACGGGTCACAGCAGCAGAGGTGGAGTAGCCTCTGGGTGGAGCAGGACCGGTCACAGCAGCAGAGATGGAGTAGCCTCTGGGTGGAGCAGGACGGGTCACAGCAGCAGAGGTGGAGTAGCCTCTGGGTGGAGCAGGACGGGTCACAGCAGCAGAGGTTGAGTAGCCTCTGGGTGGAGCAGGACGGGTCACAGCAGCAGAGGTTGAGTAGCCTCTGGGTGGAGCAGGACGAGTCACAGCAGCAGAGGTTGAGTAGCCTCTGGGTGGAGCAGGACGGGTCACAGCAGCAGAGGTTGATTAGCCTCTGGGTGGAGCAGGACGGGTCACAGCAGCAGAGGTGGAGTAGCCTCTGGGTGGAGCAGGACGGGTCACAGCAGCAGAGGTTGAGTAGCCTCTGGGTGGAGCAGGACGGGTCACAGCAGCAGAGGTTGAGTAGCCTTTGGGTGGAGCAGGACGGGCCACAGCAGCAGAGGTGGAGTAGCCTCTGGGTGGAGCAGGACGGGTCACAGCAGCAGAGGTTGAGTAGCCTCTGGGTGGAGCAGGACGGGTCACAGCAGCAGAGGTTGAGTAGCCTCTGGGTGGAGCAGGACGGGTCACAGCAGCAGAGGTGGAGTAGCCTCTGGGTGGAGCAGGACCGGTCACAGCAGCAGAGGTGGAGTAGCCTCTGGGTGGAGCAGGACAGGTCACAGCAGCAGAGGTGCCGCTTGATTCAGACCATTTTCTCTGCTCTGGTCCAAAGTAAAATGCTAAATGCTTCATTAGCATTGTTCAAAAAGTTAGCATTCCTCCAGTGGATTTTCTCCTGATCCACTTGGTTCAGACCATGAATCCTCTCTGCTCTGGTCTGGACCAGTTTAAAACCATGAATCCTCTCTGCTCTGGTCTGGACCAGTGTAAAACCATGAATCCTCTGTGCTCTGGTCTGAACTAGTGCACAGGCTTGGGGCCAGGCTGGGGCCAGGGCAACACTATGGGCAACACTATGGAGTCTTTAAAATCTGCATTAAATGCAGCAGCTCCTTTAAAACAGAAAACCATTAGGATTAGATCATCGTCGCCCTGGTACAGTGTTCAACTCCACACTTTAAAACAGGACGTCAGAAAATTGGAGAGGCTATATCGCCACTCCCACTCGGAGCCTGTCCACAGGGAGTGGAAAGCAGGTCTCCGAAATTACAAGAAGGCCCTTCGCGGGGCTCGAACTCAATACTATTCAACTTTAATAGAAGTGAATAAAAACAACAGTAGATTTTTGTTTGGCACCGTCGCTAAACTCACAAACTGCCATAGCGCAATCGAGCCTAAAATTCCAAGCTCACTGAGCAGTGTCGACTTTCTCCACTTCTTTAATAATAAAATTACATCCATCCGTGACAAGCTGGAGGAGGTTGCTCCTGCTGTTAGTGGTGGACAGGTTGAAGCGGCATACGTGACTTCCCACTTAGACTCTTCAGTGGGCCTTGATAAATTCATGGCTGTGAGCCAAGCAGAGGTGATCTCTGTGGTCACATCCTCAAAAGCCTCAACTTGCATGTTAGACGCAGTCCCGACATGGCTCTTCAAAGACATACTTCCTTTGATAATTGAGCCTATCGTAAATATAATAAACGCATCCATACAATGTGGCTATGTCCCACAAGCTTTTAAAACCGCGGTAATCAAACCCCTTCTGAAGAAAACAAACCTGGACCCAGAAATACTTACAAACTACAGACCGATCTCAAACCTCACTTTTATATCTAAAATCCTGGAAAAACTTATAGCTGAGCAGCTCCGCTGCCACCTGCAGGAAAATGATATGTTTGAAGTCTTTCAATCAGGATTCAGAGCTCATCATAGCACTGAAACGGCACTAGTCAAAGTCACAAATGACTACTAGCTGCTGATAATGGACAAGTGTCAGTGCTGGTCCTACTGGACCTTAGTGCTGCATTTGACACAATAGACCACAGCATTCTACTGCAGAGGCTAGAATGTGATATAGGTCTCAGAGGAACAGCCCTTGGCTGGTTTAAATCCTATTTATCAGATCGATATCACTTCGTCAATGTGAATCAGGACTCGTCGCCTTATTCTGGAGTGGAATTCGGTGTGCCGCTAATCAGACAGATCAGCTAGAAAAGCTCAGTGCCTGCATAAAGGACCTTAAAATGTGGATGACTCTTAACTTCCTACTTCTCAACCCGGAGAAGACAGAAGTGATCCTACTCGGTCCGAAGCGCCTGCGTGACTCCCTCACTAACCAGATGGTTACTCTCGATAATGTCAGTATAATACCCAGTAACACTGTGAGGAATCTTGGAGTCATTTTTGACCAAGAACTCTCCTTCAAGGCTTATATAAGCCAAGCAACTAAAACGGCGTACTTCCACTTACGGAACATCGCTAAAATTAGGAATTTCCTTCCTAAAAGTGACGCGGAAAAACTCATTCACGCGTTTGTCACCTCAAGGCTCGACTACTGTAACGCTTTACTGGGCAGCGTGCCCTAAAGCCTCTTTGAAGAGCTTCCAGCTCGTTCAGAATACAGCAGCTAGGATCTTAACAGGTACCAAAAGGAGGGAGCACATAACTCCGGTGTTAAAATCACTCCACTGGCTCCCTGTGGAGTACAGAATAAAGTTTAAAATCCTACTCTTAACATATAAAGCCATAAATGGCTTGGCTCCCTCTTATCTCCAAGACACGTTAGTGTCGTATCAACCAGGTCGAGCGTTGCGCTCACAAAACGCCAGACGTCTGGTGGTCCCTAAGGTCTCAAAGGTCACTGTTGGCGGCAGAGCATTTAGCTACCAAGCTCCTTTACTGTGGAATCAGCTTCCCATTTATGTTAAGGAAGCAGATACGGTCTCCACATTCAAGGCCAGGCTTAAAGCACTTTACTTTAATTTAGCATATAATTAGGTAATATATAATATGTAGTGTATATATTATATATATATGCTGTATTATGTTATATATTATTCAATAATGTATTGTGTTATGTTGTATATTATGTTATATATTATGCTGTATGTTATTCTTTATTCAAGGCTAGGTTTAAAACAGTCCTCTTTAGTTTAGCATATGGCTAGGAAGGTAAGACTCGGAGAAGGTTAAACTCCTCAGAGTGTTAGTCAAGCTGCATAGGGAGTCAGTTTGCTGGGAGAAGTATGGTAACTTGAGCACTATCCTCTCCTCCTTCCTACTTTATCTGTTTAGCATTTTTAGGATTCTGACTGTAGTTTGTTCATTGCTATTCACCCGTTGTCCCATTGTCTGTTTCATGGTACGATGACGGGATCTCTGAGCCTGGCCTCTTCCATCTACACCGCGGACTGCCCCGCCCGACCCGCCTGGGAGTGCTTCGGTCCTGCACCGGACCTGTCCACGTTCAGCGTCCACTGGTCCACGTTCTGTAGCTAGCTTAGGTCCTAGATCATTAGCCTGTCCGTCCGGAGGAGCGGATCCCTTTCTCATATGGGTCTCCCTCCCTGTGGGTTTCCCTAGTGCTCCCCAAGGTTTCTCACTTTTTCCCACTGGGTTTTTTAAGAGTTTTTCCTTGTCGATGCAGGAGGGTCTTGTTGGACAGTTAGTGTCCAACAGAAAGGATTGGTGATGATCAGGACACTTTAGCATTCTACAACATGTATGGACATTTTCTTCTGTGTGTGCTTTATATTCTTCATGTGTTTTAACTGTTGATTCTCTGACCTGTGTTGGTGATTTCAATGGTTTTGTTAAGTCCTCTGAGATGACTTCTGTTGTGACCTAGGGCTATACAAGAATACATTGTATTGTATTGTATTGTATTGTAAAACCATGAATCCTCTCTGCTCTGGTCTGGACCAGTCTA